GGCTGGGCCGATGGTGAAAGGAAGGTGCCCAGGCAAATCAAGGTTGTCAGGAGGCTCTGACATCTTGGCGTTGAAAGGGACACTCCCAGGACTTGTTCCTCGGGCACACTTCCGCATCGAACCTTCGCTCGGTCCGAGAGACTTCTCGACGGCCGGCCCAGGAATGAAATGCGATTTTGCGCCAAGAAGCGCTGGCATGGGCGGAGCGGTCAGCATCGGCATCTCACCGAGATCCGACTTTCCTGATTCAAACACTGGCATGCCCATGATACCAGCGAGATTCTCGTCTGGCGCTCGGGTCCAACATACCAAGGCGAAGCCGAGTGTCTCGGCGCCTTTTCATATGGGTCGTTGCTGACCCGCTGAGTATCCAGTATGCCTCGAGGCTCCTCCCTTTTCTCGCGATCATCCTGTTGTCCAAACGCTTTCTTCCAAGCGCATTCATCGCGCCGTCTGGCGCCCATATCCAGATGATCCCTACGCGCGCGCTCCAAACGACCCTCGGTGCAGAGGTGGCAGTTCTGACTCGGAGCGCCTCTTCGCGCTTGCGCTCGCGCGGCGCCAGGCTTCCCAATGGGACGAGCAGCAATCGGATGGAGAGGCGGCTCAACATGTGCGGGCTGTGCCGGCGTTTTCCCCACCTTTGCCTCGGGGCCCACTTCTACCTGCAAAGCCGAAGTCGCGCGCCCTCGATCCTTATCCCGCGATTCTTTGTCCATCCGATGTTGCCCCAGGTCAGACCTCAAACTTGTGTTTTCCTCGCTCGCGGCCCGAATGGCCAGGGCACTGCTTCTCATCTGCTCATCTGCGTGCCCTTTCAGACGATCCCAGGCAACAGCCATCCTCTTTTGGTCCTCATCACTGATTACCTCGGCCTTTTGTTTTTGTTCTCGAAGGGATCGCAATCGCAGGGCTTCCGATTGTACTCTTTCGGCCTCGAGTCTAGCAGCTTCGAGTAGATTGCGGGGCCCCTGATTTGCTGGCGCCGCTCGTTCCCGGGCTTCTTTCTCCCCCCACCCCTCCTGGCTGCATCGGCCATTTCCCTATATTCAGCTTTTTCCCTCAGCTTTCTGCTGGGATTATGATGCCACTTGTTTTGCTATAATCTGGATCCTCAACCTGTCATTCTCCTCTTGGGCAAGGCGCCGCTGGGCTTCGCCTGTAACTCCTGCTGCGCTGGCCTCAGCATGCCGCATCACTTTCTGCGAATTTTCCGCAAAGATATGTTTCTCATATTCCACCTTCCGTGCCATTACCTGCCTCTCTGCCTCAGAAACTGCAAGCATGCGTTTAGCCTGGTCAGCGGCCTTCTTATCAATATGTGCCTCAAGGATGATCTGTTGAATTTGTGCACTCGCAGTCCTTAATTGTTCTCGATCCTGTCCATTTCTTTCCGCCCACTCTAGGGTGGCGATATGGTGACACTTGTGCTATTCCATCGCAACGCATTCTTCGCAAAGCCATGCTAGGCTACACTCGGGACAAACATTCGAACATTGTGAACGCACTGGCCTCCGACACGAACCCCCCAATTTGCGCACCTTCCCTGGGCATCGATTCCCCGCCCGAGTCGGGCACGCGGGCCCGGCGCTCCAGCGACACTCCCGCATCGAGAAGCTGCTGGTGGTTATATTCGATGGCACCCGTGGCGATCCAAGGGCGCGAAACCCCTTGGAACTGGAACGTCCGGCCCTGGGGGCCTTGCTGGGGCGCTCCCGTTCACTGCAGGAGGTAGGCCTGTTTTTCTCTTGTTCTCACACCCCTAAGGATGAAATCAAAGTCCCGATTCTGTGCTCAATCGTCTCTTTCGTCTCGCAATACTTGCTCGTCGAGTTCTGGTGTTCTGTCCCTGTTAGTCCACGGCAATGAGAAGTCTGGTCTGTAGTCAAGGTGAAGAATTTAAGTCATCGTTCTCACACTTCGGCTTCTTTCTCATTTGTTGAGGAGTCATACCTGTAAATTCGAGTGTGTTCCTCATATCGCGCATGACATCGGGGGAGCTCGACATCGGCTGTGCCGGCGAGCATCCACCTCTGTCTGAGCTTCCTTCTTCTTCGAAGTCATCACCCGAATCAAGAATTGGCTTCTGAATTGCCTCACCCGTTACGTGGTCAGCTGTTTCGCTCACTAACGGAGCTGCGCCTGAGGTGAGCTCGACACATCTACCGGGGGGAGGGTCGAGATGATACGATGGACCAGGCGAAGTGTGGAATCGAGCATATTCTTCGTTCTTCTCACTCGAATGAGAACTGTCCCCTTCCGATTGAAAATCACTCACATCCTCGCTCTGTCCATGCAACACGAACTGCGATGCATGTCATGCGCCAAGGTTCTCGGCGCCCGACATTCCTAAGGGAACGTGTTCCAACAACTTCTCCATCTCAAGATCTAGGCCGACCGATGGCTGAAAAACCCGGATGTACCGACACCAACTCAGACGGTCCCTCGGCGGGATATTTGGCAGTGCCATACCTTCCGCCCGAGGCTTGCGCTCTGGACCTTGTCGCCGAGTCAACCGAAAAGCCCCCTTCTGTCAAGTCACACATAGTCTCTGATGCATGCTTTCTGGGAAGGTGGAGAGAATTTGCTCGCCTCGTGGAGGCACCTACACTTTCGTTACGCTCGGATGGGTAATGGTCTTCTGTTCGTCCGAGCGCTCTTTCTTGTGATCCCATGCTCTGCGAAACTAAAGGGTGTGCCGTCGCTTCGGCTGATAACCAGTCTTGTGCCTGGATATTCATAATCCCTGCAGTATGTTCCGATAGTATATCATGGTCAGTGGGCTCCGCCGATGACATGGGGAAGAAGGGGTAATGCCCTCAAGCTTACAATAGGGTAACACTGAAGGAAGGAGGCCGGCCCGCCGGCCGACGCACGCGCGCGCGCGCCGCAGGCTCGCTCCTTTTCCGTTTCCCTAGAGCCACAGTGGTCTAGATGCGGAAGCAGAAGCAGTCAGTACATCGGGCAGCGCGCGCAAGGCAAAGGAGCAGAAAAGGCTAAAGGATGGTGGTGCGGAAGTGGTGCATTGACTCCTCCTCCTCCTCCTCTTCCTCCTCCTCCTCCTCTTCCTCCTCCTCTCCATCCTCCTCCTCCTCCTCCTCCTCCTCCTCCTGCTCCTCCTCCTCCTTCTCCTCCTCCTCCTCTCCTCTCCCTCCTCCTCCTCCTCCTCCTCTTCCTCCTCCTCCTCCTCCTCCTCCTCCTCCTCCTCCTCCTCAGGTCTGGACGTATTTATCCAGGAAAGGTGTTTCGTCCTGAATCGGTTTTTGGCGGTCCAAGGGCCGGCAAGGGCCCCGGGAGGCCGAAAAGACGGGAAAACCTCCCGCCATGATTTTGTCATTACCCGAGGGGGTCTGGGGAAAACCGCGCAGAAAGGCAAAGTTATGCGAATAACAAAACGATCACACGAGAAATTCTGCCATGAGGAACCCTGCCACGAGACATCAAGGGGGGCACGTCAATCGTCGAGCTCTGGAGCTTCCTGGGGCGCCCCGGGGATTTCTGTGGGCCCAAAAGGGCCCCACAGGGGCCACCAGGCAAAACGGACTTCCGTGGGGCAAATGCTGGCATGCCTTAGGATGCAGCTACTGAGAGGTTTTCGTCGGAAGGACTCAGGAGGATTAAGCCCCACTGAGAAGCTGTTGTGCCGGATTGGGTCTCAGATTAAGCGGGGTTCGGCCGGATTAAACGGGATCATAAACGGGATTCAGCGGGATTAAACTGGATGAAGCGGGATTAAGCCGGATTGCGCCGGATGTCGGACCAGGGCAAAGTCAAAATGTGACCTCCCTAAAGTTGCATCTGAACAAGCCGATGTCTTATTGGACGTGTCCGCTGCAGCGTTTGGACGTTCTGGGGGCTGCATGGGACGCCCCAGGACCCAGGAGCCGGAAGAGGGTGCGATTGACTCTGGGACCAGCTCTTTCCATGACACCCTCTCCTTCGTGCCGACTTCTGCGCGCCATCGTGGGGGGCATCGATAAGGGAGCAGCAGGACCCAGGAGCCAGAAGAGGGCGCGACAACCCCAGGACCAGCTCCCTCCATGACCCCCTTTCCTTCGTGCCGACGTCTGCGCGCCATGGTGAGGGGCAACGATAAGGGGGGGACTGCCCCAGAGGGGGAACATCGCCCTGCAATCGGCGCTATCGCCGACTGCTTGGCGACAGGCCCCCGATGGCGGATCCGAGCGTTCCTGGGAGGGGTGGGCTTTCAGGCTCCTATCGGAGATGGATGGGCGATAAGGGGTCGATGCCTGAGCCTCTCCTCTGGTGTCGGGGGTCTACTGACCAGGGTTAATCCAGACCTGGTCAGGCAGGCTTTGCAGTATCCTGCACCCAAGCCGGGGTCAGTGCACCCCTGGCTCTGCAGGGTCCTGCAAGGTCTGGCGCTCTAACTGGCCCCCGTTTGTATTGACCCCCGTCTCTTGAGCCCCGATGGTGGTCCAAGTCATAGCTCGAGCCTGCGGCGGGCTGCTCGGGACGTTCCGGGCACACCCAGAACGCTCTCGGCGAGGCACAGCCGCTGGAAGGCATCCCAAGACTGGGAACCCGCCGGGAACCGACGAAAACGCACGAAGACCTGGAATCTCGAAACCAGCACCACCAGGACGTTGCCCCTCCCGGAGTAGCGAAAACAGTGCAACATCGTGCAATAATCACGCCTGGAACCCTCGACCCCATCTTTCTGCGTCGTCGAGCTGTGACGGGCCACGGACCCCGAAAAAGGCGAAACCGCCGGGCTAGACAAACATTAATACAGTGGAGGCCAGTGCACAAGAAGCCTGCCACAAGAAACCCAACCCTGAGACCCCAGGACGTCCATCGACGTTTGTGGTACAAGAACGTCACGCTTTCCATTGCAAAGCCATCGAAACCCAAGAAAACCCGGGCACCCTGGAGGCAAGCAAGGTGTCTCTTGGCATGGGCCCCCACTGTAGGACGCCAGGACCTCGGGGCTGACACCAGCACGAGGCCTCCCTTCTCTTGGGGGGGCCGGCGCCGGCCTTGCTGCCCCAGCGCGTCGGCCAGCGCTCCCAGGGACGGCCCCGACTCCCGGATCTCCTCGGTGCTCGCCCGCCCTTCGCCCCTGCGCCTCCGCCTCCGCCCGCCTCCTTCCCTCTACGCGCGCGCACTGCACGACCAGAGTTGGGGGGGGAGAAGGGAGAGAAGGGTGAGGAGAAGGAGGAGGAGGAGGAGGAGGAGGAGGAGGAGGAGGAGGAGGATGGGGGGGAAGCAGGAGGAGGACAAAGAAGGAGGAGGGAAGAAGGGGAGGAGGGAGGAGGAGGGAAGAAGGGAAGGAGGGAAGGAGGAGGAGGAGGGATGGAGAAGGACGAAGGAAGTAGGGGGGAGGGCCAGGTCGGGTCAGGCAGTCCACGAAAGCTCATCGGTGCGAAGACGAACGGGTGCGCGGAGCACTGAAAAACTCCAGCCCACGTGGCCCCAAACTGGGCAGACTGCCGCAGTCGAAACCGCAACGACCCTGATCACGGCAGACGGACAGTCGGAGACGACACCGAGGAGAAGAGAAGAGAAGAAGGACGTATGGTCCTGGGGTGGAAAGGACGTGACGGACGCGAGCTGGAGGAGGAGGAGGAAGAGGAGGAGGAGGAGGAGGAGGAGGAGGAGGAGGAGGAGGAGCGCCCGACCACGAGGGGAATGACCCAATTCACACATGCACGCAAGGAAAAAGGGGGTCAGGCGAGGCCCGGATCCTCATCCACCTCCCAGCCCGCCTCCTCTCCTCCACCTGCTGTCCGCCTCTGCGGCCTCCGCCGTGAGGCCGTGCAGCGCAAACGCCCGCTGCCAGTCGGCGGCAGGAGTGGGCAGCGGCCGCGCCGCTGCCTTCGGGACCTCACGTTTCGCAGGCCCCTGGAGGCCCTGGGCCCAGGCGGAGAAGGAAGGCTGCCACTCGGCCCTGACTTCCAAGGACGGGGCTCTTACGCAGGCAGGCGTAAAACTCTGAGGACTACGGTGCCCGGGATTTACTCCACCTCGAAACTTGCTCAGGTAGAGACACCGACCCCCCGTGACGACAGGACGATGCGACAGGCGAAGGTTCCCCCATTTCGAGCTGGTGTGCGCCATGCTACCACATGCAACGCACATAACATGCTATCGCAAAGCGTTTCACGATCCGATTCGAACACATTCGCTTGCTCGAGCAAGTGCCCCAGTTGCTTCCAAAATCCTGGCACCGCGCAGGCCTCTGGGACAGGCGGGCCAACCTGGGGTCGGAGGGGGGGGCGCAGCAGGAGCAGCAGCCCCCTCGGACCCCGAGCAGGAGGTAGCCACTCAAGGCCCTGGTGGTCCTGCATCGCCAGGGCCCTGCACTCAAACTGCTGCGCGGCGCAGACACTTCCGAGCCGACGAGCCAGCTCCGTGCATCCAAGGACATTGAGGCTGTCAGGCTCGGAATCACGGACATGGACACTTCCCTGACGTCACTCATCGACGTGTGCACAGGAATCTCGACGACGTTCATACCGTCCAAACGATCGCCAAGGTCAGCCCACCAGTGGGCCCTGGTAGACCTGGGCCCTCCCGCACCTCTGAGGTTTCGGAAGCAGCCTGCCGCGGTAGCACAGTCAACGCACAGGGGAACTCTGGGCCCCAGGCCCGCCCTCCTAAACAGCATGAGCACCGCGAGGTTTTCCCCGTCGCGCGCCGGCTGGTCTGGAACCCCGAGCCGCGCGTGAACACGAGGGCCCCCCTCAGGAATGGAAAACGGCCCATCTTGCGGCCACTGAAAATGGCGAGTGCACGGGTCGCGCGCGCCCCTCGGGGGCCTCGAGACGCAGGGCGTGGGGCCAGGGAGCATGCGCCTACTGAACAGTTCTCTACCTTCACCCGTGAGATGGCCTAGTCGCCGAGCCGCGTTGGACGCAACAGGGTCCAGGTTCTCGCGGCGCCGCGCGTCGAAAACGCGTCAGGGGAATCTCCGATGGGCTGCCTGCGGGATCTCCGCGCAACTTGCATAGAAGACCAGTCTCTGGACTTCAAGCGTAGGCGCGGGCCCGGGACCAATGCGCATGGGCCATCAGCGCCGACAAGGCTGCGTTGTGTCCTGTGTGGGCCAGCGCCCCAAGGATTTCCGACCTAACAACAGGTGAAAGGGTGGCCAATGGACAGGGCCACTCCACTCCTTAAAATCATGCTGATTCGCTTGCCCCTCGCGCTCGATCGCTCTCCGAACGGCGCTGCTCGCGAGGGCGATGCAGAACTTGATAGAAAATCACTCAACCGGCCAAGCCGTTCTTTGGTCATCCACCAGGGAGAGGGGCTCAACATCGAATCTACAGTTGATCCTGGCCAAGAGCAAGAAGAGGGCAGCCATTGGCTGTCGGACCCTGGCCCCATGGATTCTCGCGGGTCTGGGCCGCCCGGGGGCCCTCCACGCAGGATTCCAGCGCAGCCTGCGATATCGACTTGGCCCAGAGCACCCCTACACATTCTTTCGCAGCCGAGACGATCACCACCGCGAGCGGATCCCTGGCCCGGAGACGAGCGGACGCCAGAAACCGAGAACCCAAGGAAGTCCGTTGGAGCAGGGGGCCCCCACGACCTGACAGCTTGGATCCGCAGCTTGCGGGGGCTCATTGGAGGCGCCCCTAACACGTGTGATCCCCAGGTGGCCTTGGCGAGAGGTCCTGCGCGAATGACTCGGCTATGTGTTTTTCGTTCGGCCCCAACCCGCGCCTACGCGCCGAAGCGTCGGACGCCGCCGCCGCTGGGGTCGCCGCCGAGGTCGCGGTGCGCGGCGACCAGCACTGCGGCCCGAGCGCCCACCTCGAATCGCCGGGCAGCTTTGGCAGCGGCGCCCGGTCCGAGATGCCGTAGTGGGTCTTGCCCCGATTGTTTTGGAGCTGCCTGGCCTTCAGGACAGTCGCGACCGCCTCGAAGCTCTACGTGGCGGCCTCCACAGCTGTCGCTGGCCCTCCGATCGCGCGAGCGGGCAGGTCGTCAACCGCGTTGATCGCGCGGGGGGGCCTCGTCTCCACCGCGATCCTACGCAGCGGGGTGAGCACTCGTAGCCTGGCCACCCCCGTCGCAGCACTGCAGCCAGCCACTATGGCGCCGTCGGGCTGGCTCAGGCGACTGGCACCCCCTGCCCACCTGGCCCTGCGATGGGCTCTGCAGAGGCAGCGCGGCGCTCTCAGCAAACTGCCGTCGAAGGCGAAAGGCTCGCCTGTCTGACGTAGCTCGTGGTGGCAGACGTTCTCGTAGAACTCCCGAATGCCGTAGAGCACCGCGAGGGCCGGGAGCCCACGCCGTCTGGCATGGCCTGTCAGCACGTTGTGCAAATAAACTGCACTGTCACAGCTCGAGGCCTCGTCCTTGTCCCAAAAGAAACTAGCGTCGACCGTGGCCCCCCGCTCCTTGACATGCGCTCGCCTCGCCCGACCCGATATCCTGGCCCAGAAACAAAGGGGGCCGATGGCTCGGGTGTCTCCGCCCGCCTCGGGCAGGAAAACGCTGATGGTGACCCGCAAGTTGGCGCAAGTGGGCTGCTTCTTTTACTCCGACGGAATGTGTGCCAGTCTGGCAACAGCGACACCATCCAAGAAAGCCGCCAATCGAATGCGGGAGTTGTCCCAGCCGGGGCCCGTTGACGGCCCGAAGGACTTGCAGGCGTCGGCAACCAGCTGCTTGCCGATCGGGCCCGGCCCCCAATCGCACGGCCACTCTACAGGCTGCAGCTCATCACTCCGCTTGCTGGAGATCCACAGGTTCTCCCATTTTTCCAGAGCCGCATCGATGGCCGCTGATCCGACTAGCCCCCGGGGGCCGCCGCGCGCTTTGGCGAAGGCGTCTTCCGGCCGCATGGGTCGACAAAACGCGCGCACCAACTTATCCGAGCCTCTGACCGTTGGCTCCCCGAAATCCTTCCGCGCCTTGCCGCGAGCTCTGGGGTCGTGCCTCCTCCTCTCGTCTACCTCACTAGCCAGCGCTGAGCGGAACCATGCTGCCTATTGTCCACCGCGCTGGGCCAAGAATATCCACTTGTCCACCTGTGGTTCCAGCCGCAACTGGGAGTCGGTGAGGGGCTTTGGCAGCTCGAGATCCTGCAAATCCCGCGCCACGCGCTGACGGCGCGCCGACCGGGCCGCCTTGGCCCTCGATGGCGGGGCCGCCGATTCACAAAGGCATTCCCCGAGGCGTTGCGCCGACAGCCACGCGCGGGCGTCAGACTCGTCGTAGCGCTCCACGGTGCCCTTCGAACGGCCTGTGGAGTAGTTGTGTTTCATGGCGCCCCCCTGGCCCTTCCTTGTAAGAAACGAGCATCTTGCTTCGGCATCCCAAAGCGTCCACCAGGCGCTGCTGCTCAGCCGCCGAACCACCCAGGAACTGCCTGCTCAACGTCCTCGATCGGGCTGTCCAACCTCTGCTCGGGCCGAACTCGCACCACAGGAAATGGTGTGACGCACTCCTCCCCTGGCCGATGACATCTGGCCGCTTTCGCCCTGGCCTTGGCCTTGGCCTCCTGGTCTGCCAAGGGGAAGGCTCACGACGGAGATTCGACCCAGACAAAAAGCTTCTTGCCAAATACCTTTGAGCTGGGTGGACGCGTAGCAGAGGGGAAACACAGGCGCATCCGTCCTGGCCTCCACGATCATGGGGCAGGCGCCCAGACACTGCGAGCCCATGACGTAGACATACTCATTCCCACTGCACGTGGGCACACCTGGGGCGTAGGCGGTAACGGCCATCAAGTCAAGCCACACTGTGGCAAACACCTCCTCAGGCTCACCTCCCAAAGGGAAACGTTGCGCTCCGAGGTAGGCCCCAAGGAACTTAAAGTTCTCGGGGCTCTCGCCCTTCGCCCCCAGGGGGTCGACGCAGTAAATCAAGCCTAGGATGATCCAGGAACGAGGTCCCGACGCCGCCAGGCGCATCAAGACACGGCGCTGGAACCTTTCGGGCATCGGATCCAGCATGGCAGCGCCGACGCCATAGGCGGTGACTAGGCCCACTCCAGAGGATAGCGACCGCACCGGCTCCCCCGTTATGGCCGAGGACCCCTGGGCCACAGGGCGAGAGCAGGTTCGGGTCCACTGATGCGCCGCTGGCTCGCTGGCCTTGTCCAGCCCAACTGCGTCACCTGGATGCACAGCGCGCCAGGCACCCCAGGGACTTGTTCAATCCAGTGCATCGTAGACCGTGCCCCTGACCACGTGTTGGCGTTGAGCGTACCCACCAAGAATGCAGCCAGGGATGTGCCCGTGGCGGAGAGTGAAATGGTTCGTTTCCGGACTAACAGAGCCCACCGATCTCTGGCGTCGCCCACTGGAGCGGTCGCGTGGCTGCCCCTGGCTCGGGGGCGAAGTTACCCGGTGCTCCAAGAACTGCTCCCCGCCTCGCCCAGACCAACGCGCCGCCCCTCCAGTCAACTGCGGACCCGCCCGCGTTGCCCCTCCAGCAACGGCGCGCTCTCCCGGCCTCGCGCCGACGGCGGCCCGACGGCCCGTGTCACTCGGAGGGGCCACGGGCACCGCGAAAGACCTGCCACACACTGCACCACAATCGGTAGGGCCAGCCTCAGCAAAACCTGGCGACACCGACGTGCCCCTCTCGCTGTTTACCTCACGGGTGCACCTGGGGGCAGATGCATCGGCGATGCACCGACGATGCATCGGCGACGTCGGCGATGCATCGGCAACGTCGGCGTGGGGAAGCTCGGGCTCCACATCGAGCCGCATCGCCGATGCATCGGGGTCCCCGTTCGCAAAAGCCCGACGTCTTGCCTTTCTCGATACGGGGCTCCCTGAGGCCTGGACCTCTCTGGGGGTCGGCTCTTCGTCCCGAACCCTTCGCTGACGGTCCAGGGGCCCAGCGATGGCCCCGAGAGGCCGGCAACTGAGAAAGATATCCCCCCCTGCGTTTTCGCGCTTCGTCTCAAGCGCTGAATCTCAGCGTGGCCCTTCTGTGCTTCCTGCCCTCCTCCCTCGCCTTCTCCCCCCGCCTGTTTCCCCCCTCCTCCGCAGAGTGGCGCCATCACCTGCAACCAATTTCTGCGACTCGCCAATGCGCCGTATGAGCGCCAGGCTGGACTGACTGACTGACTGACTCGAGTTCCCCGAGACGTTTGTAGAGGAGCAAACACGGCATAAACATGAACTTTTGAGGGTCCGCACGGATTTCTTGGATCTGCGCCGGACCCCCTCCCTGGCACGCGGAGCGCGCCAGGGGCAGCGCCGGAGGCGCCGCCAGAGGGGCCCATGCGCCGATGCAAGGAATCCGAGCAAAAGAGTCGACATGTTATGTTTCTCTAAATGTTTTCTTCTTCGAATTTGAATGATGTACCGATGCCGCTACTCCCCAAACCTCTCCGGGTGTGCGTTCTGACCGGGATTTCGAGCGAATCCAGCGGTGGCGACGAGAGCCTCCCAGGAGGCACCCTAAAGAGGAAAACGGGCGAAGTGCAGTGGTCTGGATGAACACGAGGGAAGTGGAGGAGGAGGAGGAAGAGGAAGAGGAGGAGGAGGAGGAGGAGGAGGAGGAGGAGGAGGAGGAGGAGGAGGAGGAGGAGGAGGAGGAGGAGGAGGAGAGGGAGGAGGAGGAGAAGGAGGAGGAGGGAGGAGAGGAGGAGGAGGAGGAGGGAGGAGGAGGAGGAGGAAGGAGGAAGGAGGAAGGAGGAGGAGGCCTGGGTCCCTCCCTCCCCCGAAGAGAGCAGTGCCCTCGGGCCGGAGAAGCCGCGCGGGTCTCCAGCGCCCGGCGCGCGGCGGCCTCCGCGAGCGCGGGCTGCCGCTGCAGGCGGACGTACTCCGTGGCGACCTCCTGGAGGTGGGGCGCGGGGGAAGAAGGCGGAGGAGGATAATGAAAAAGGACAATCATAAGGATGATGCTGATACGGCTGCTAATACGAGCACTACTACTCCTACTCCTACTACTACCACTACTACTACTACTACTACTACTACTACTACTACTACTACTACTACTACTACTACTACTACTACTACTACTACTACTACTACTACTACTACTACTACTACTACTACTACTACTACTACTACTACTACTACTACTACTACTACTACTACTACTACTACTACGACTACTACTACTACTACTACTACTACTACTACTACTACTACTACTACTACTACTACTACTACTACTACTACTACTACTACTACTACTACTACTACTACTACTACTACTACTACTACTACTACTACTACTACTACTACTACTACTACTACTACTACTACTACTACTACTACTACTACTACTACTACTACTACTACTACTACTACTACTACTACTACTACTACTACTACTACTACTACTACTACTACTACTACTACTACTACTACTACTACTACTACTACTACTACTACTACTACTACTACTACTACTACTACTACTACTACTACTACTACTACTACTACTACTACTACTACTACTACTACTACTACTACTACTACTACTACTACTACTACTACTACTACTACTACTACTACTACTGCTACTACTTGTACTTCTACTTCTACGACGACGACGACGACTGCTACTACTGCTAATTCTATTAATATTGAGAATAAGAATAAGCATATGCCTAACGACACATAGAAGTAATACACAAATAACACAAATCCGCCGATCCGGCGTGTAAACTACAAGAAGCCTCAGCAAGAGTTTCAGCTCTGAGCCTAAGCAAGAGCTTCAGCTCTGCTTGGGGGGAATCGCCGGGGTGGCTCTGCCAGGGAAGGGGGGGAGGGGGGGGGGGCATCTGGCGTTTTCTTCATGATTTGCGCATCCGACCCCCCCCGAGGAAGAGGGGGAGGGGGGGGCGGCGGCCCCCCATCTGGCGATTTCTGAATGCCTTGCGCATGCCCAAGATGTTTCGCAGGGTTCCAGGGGCCCCCTCTCAGGTTTAGCTGCTACCGCCCCGAGGACCCTCCCTCGGAACCCTCCCCGGACCCCCATGGACCGGTCCAGGCACCCCCCGCAGAGAAAAAAAAAGGACCAGAAGAATCGAGGACGGAGGAGGCCACAGAGCAGTGAAGATCACCAAATCGGGAGCCCCCCCCGGATCGGCGGCACTGGCTGGAGGCCATTACAATAATGCTACTACCACGAACCACCAAAATTACGCTACCGAGGAACCCCACACACTTAGCTTAAATCTTGTGTGTTTGCTTTAGTTTATAATCTATGCGCAATTCTGCGTTCTCAGCCCTCGTCGCGAATGTTCCCCTATGTGTCATCCAACGCCATATAGCCTTCTATCCTCCGTCGAGGACAGATTCGAGCCAGCCAGCGGCCGCGGTGAGGGACCACCCCCTGCGCACCCTCTATGGTGTCGAGAACGTGCCACGCCTGCTGTGCCCTGGACGACCGTCGTGCATAGCGGCCGCGGTGAGGGACCACCCCCTACGCAGCCTCTATGGTGTCGAGAAAATGCCGCGCCTGCTATGCCCTGGACGACCGTCGTGCATAGCAGCCGCGGTGAGGGACCACCCCCTGCGCACCCCCTATGACGTCGAGAAAGTGCCACACCTTCTCGCGGAGGAGTACGTGGCACTCCTCCCAACACCTTCGCACTCCTCTCAACTCTTCCTCTTCTCAACTCCTCCGCGCTCCTCTCAACTCCTTGCGTCAACTCCTCCGCATCCTCGGGAGAGGAAAGGAAGGAATGGAGGGAGGGTAAGGAGGCGCGGGAGAGAACGGGAGAACTTGTAACTCGAAATCGCAGCTGCCGCCGGCCAGGGCGTTGCATGTGGGCGCCGTAGCGCCAGGCATGCAAGTGGCCATGGGGGGGCTGGTGCTCCCCAAGAGCCCTCAAGCAGAATTGAAAGGCAATGTGCGGCACGGCAGTGCAGGGCATGGCAGCGCAACGGCACAGCACGGGAGTGCACGGCCGCGCACGGCACAGCACGGCACGGCACCAACGAAAGGCATGGCGCGGCAGTGATTCCCGGCGGCCCCGGGGCTTTGAATGAGCCTCCACCCCCTGCGCACCCCCTATGGTGTCGAGAAAGTGCCACGCCTGCTGTGACTGGACGACCGGGGCGTATAGAAACCGCGGTGAGCCACTACCCCCTGCGCACCCCATACGGTGTCGAGAAAGTGCCACGCCTGCTGTGCGTGGACGACTGGGGCGTATAGAGACCGCGGTGAGAGACCAGCCCTTGCGCACCCCTTATGGTGTCGAGAAAGTGCCACGCCTGCTGTGCCTGGACGACCGGGGCGTATAGAGACCGCTGTGAGAAACCACCCCCTGTGCACCCCCTATGGTGTCGAGAAGGTGCCACGCCTGCTGTGCGCTGTGCCTGGACGACTGGGGCGTATAGAGACCGCTGTGAGAGACCACCCCCTGCGCACCCCCTATGGTGCCGAGAAAAGTGCCACGCCTGCTGTGCCTGGACGACTGGGGCGTATAGAGACCGCGGTGAGAAACCACCCCCTGCGCAGCCCCTATGGTGTCGATAATATGCCACGCCTGGTGTGCCCTGGACGACCGGGGCGTATAGAGGCCGCGGTGAGAAACCACCTTGTGCGCACCCGACAGTGGCACGCCTGCTGTGCCTGGACGACTGGGGCGTATAGAGACCGCGGTGAGAGACCAGCCCTTGCGCACCCCTTATGGTGTCGAGAAGGTGCCACGCGTGCTGTGCCTGGACGACCGGGGCGTATAGAGGCCGCGGTGAGAGACCACCCCCCTGCGCACCCCCTACGGTGTCGAGAAAGTGCCACGCTTGCTGTGTCTGGACGACTGGGGCGTATAGAGACCGCGGTGAGAGACCACCCCCTGCGCACCCCCTGTGGTGTCGAGAAAGTGCCACGCCTGCTGTGCGTGGACGACTGGGGCGTATAGAGACCGCGGTGAGAGACCAGCCCTTACGCACCCCTTATGGTGTCGAGAAAGTGCCACGCATGCTGTGCCTGGACGACTGGGGATATATAGAGACCGCTGTGAGAGACCACCCCCTGCGCACCCCCTTATGGTGTCGAGACAGTGCCACGCCTGCCGTGCTTGGACGACCGGGGCGGATAGAGACCGCGGTGAGAGACCACCCCCTGCGCATCCCCTATGGTGTCGATAATATGCCATGCCTGGTGTGCCCTGGACGACCGGGGCGTATAGAAACCGCGGTGAGAGACCACCCCCTGCGCACCCCCTGCGGTGCCGAGACAGTGGCACGCCTGCTGTGCCTGGACGACTGGGGCGTATAGAGACCGCGGTGAGAGACCAGCCTTTGCGCACCCCTTTTGGTGTCGAGAAGGTGCCACGCCTGCTGTGCCTGGACGACCGGGGCGTATAGAGACCGCGGTGGGAAACCACCCCTTGCGCACCCCCTATGGTGTCGAGAAAGTGCCACGCCTGCTGTGCCTGGACGACTGGGGCGTATAGAGACCGCGGTGAGAGACCAGCCCTTGCGCACCCCCTTATGTTGTCGAGACAGTGCCACGCCTGCCGTGCTTGGACGACCGGGGCGTATAGAGACCGCGGTGAGAAACCACCCCCTGCGCACCCCCTTTGGTGTCGAGAATATGCCATGCCTGGTGTGCCTTGGAAGACTGGCGCGTATAGAGACGGCGGCGAGAGACCACCCCCTGCGCACCCCCTATGGCGTCGAGAAAGTGCAACGCTTGCTACGCCTGGACGACTGGGGCGTATAGAGACAGCGGTGAAAGACCACATCCTGCGCACCCCCTATGGTGCCGAGAAAGTGCCACGCCTGCCATGCACTGCGAATCCTACACGCACGTCTTATATGTTGTGTGCCATGTGTATGTGTATGGTGTGTGCGCGACCTGTGATGCAGTGAACATGCGTCTTGTGTTTGCCCTTATGGTGTCGAGAAAGTGCCACGCTTGCCATGCACTGCGAATCTTACACGCACGTCTTATATATCGTGTGTCGTGTGTATGTGTATGATGTGTGCGCGGCCTGTGATGCAGTGAACATGCGTCTTGTGTTTGTGTGTGTGCGTGCGGCTGTATGTAGACGCGTGTCTCATGTACTTGCCGCGCATGTTGTTGCATGTGTTGAGCGCGGGTGAGGAGAGGAAAAAGAGGAGGGGAAGAGTGAGGTGTGTGAGGGTGTGTCGCCGGTGCGGCGCGGCAGGGAAGAAAACCATAACACCACGAAACATGTGGCAAATATACACTATAACAATGATAGTATTACGAACAAGAATGCTAGTACTAATTGACATAAATCTTTTTGCAATTCGCATACTACAACTACTACTACCTACTACTATTACTACTACTACTACTACTACTACCACCACTACTACTACTACTACTACTACTACTACTACGACGACGACGACGACGACGACGACGACGACGACGAATACTACTACTACTACTACTACGACTACGACTACGACTACTACTACTACCACTACTACTACTACTACTACTACTACTACTACTACTACTACTACTACTACGACTACTACTACGACAACGCCTACGACTACTACTACTAATACTGCTGCTACTACTGCTACTACTACTACGACGTCGACGGCTACCACTACTAGCCATACTAGTAATAAAAATAAAACTATAATAATAATGAGAATAATACTAATAACAATACTAGCAAAACTAATAATATAATAATGATACGGAAAATAATAATAGCAATAATAATACAAATGCGAATCATACCAACAATATTTAGTAGTAAGACGAAGAAGAAGGAAACATAACTCAGAAAAGAAAAGGACGACGACGAGCCCGCAGATCAGAGCGTCGCCTTCTTTCACACCGCGCGCGTTCGCCCGGTTTCGGGCCCCAAGGCCATCGCAAATCGATCTCGCTCGAACAATGCAGAACACCAGACCGACTGCATCAAGGGCTCGGGTCGTGATCTCCAGAAATGTTGCATTTTTTCCGCCACGTCGGATCGCAAAAAAGAAACATAGTAGGCAGTATCGGCGCAAACTGAGGCACCGCGAGGGGACTCCCGCTAAGAGAGCCCCGCTTGCTGGCAGATGAGCTCCTCGAGCGGCTCTGTACAACGGCAGGGTTTTGGGAAGGGTGGGGCAGGAAAGGCGAAGGCGGCACGGGAGGACGACTCCGAGCACAAGGGCACACGGGCCTGGCGGGAGGTGGGTGGGCGGGGGGGGGCCTTGGGGAGACGGCCTCGAGCACCAGGGGGCAAACGGAACTTGTCCTCCTGAGATTGGGCGTCGCTTGAGGGGGGGGCGATGGAGGGGGGGGGCACCAAACGTGCACCTGTCGCGCCCGTCTTGGGACCCAGGGGGCCCTTTCAGGGCACCCGAGGTGCACGAGAAGCGCATGTTTTTTTCGCCCCGCCACTTATCGCTTTCCCATTGCGCCCCATTGCACAACGCCCGACGAGAGTTCGTTTCTGGCCCTCCGGGGAAGACGCGTGCGCAGGGCCAGCCCTGGGGCACCTGCCATGACTGCTGGCGCAGCTCGGCGATGCCCCGCCAGCAGGGAGGCTCCGCTCATATAGCAGCTCGGGGAACGAGGGGGTTACGGATGATCCAGCTGCCTGAAGGACCTCCCGACTTCCCCTTATCAGGACTGCAATGTCGAAATGGGTTCCGAGCAGTGCTCGGTCCCCGCCGTTCACCTCGCCGCCCCTCCCTGCCGAGTGCGCTCACGCCCATTCGGTGGGGAGGACGAGGTGCAGGCAAACAGACGCGGGGAGGACAAACTCCGCCAGCAGGGATGCCAAAAAACAACCAGCAGCATGACCCTCAACTTGCGGAGGTCGGCGATGGGCCCGTCTCTCACCACCACGCTCCTGGCGACGCCCCTGGCGCCGCTCCCGCCGCGCTCCGCGCCCTGGAGAAACTACTCGCTGCTGGGAGGGGCGCAGCGACCCAGCGCCGCTCCAGGAAGCCCGCGCGCGCGCCTCCGACACCTGCGTCGAGCAGGGCGCCGTAGACGCGACGGCTCTTTCGTTGGCGCAACACGAAAGAAAGAGCAGGAGGAGGGAGTTGAGTCGCTGTCCCTGGACTGTACGTCCACCCCCTCCGCGGCGAAGGCTGCGGAGGGTGCGGGGGGGGGGGCTGCGTTGAGATCACCTGGGCCAGCCGAGGAGGAGGAGGAGGAGGAGGAGGATCTCCTGCAGAGCGACCTCGCAGTCGGAGTCTGGGCGGAGCTGCAAGCAGCGCCTGCAGCTGTCGTCGGCCGAGTCCCAGCTCTCAAGCCGCAGGTGCAGCAGGCAGAGCTGCGCCCAGACCTTGGGGCACCGCCGCTGAACCCAACCCCCTATCAAGTCATGCAAACATAATAAAACAACGCGACGGAACTGATTTGATGGTTCTCGGCCTCCGGGTGCCCTCGACAGCACACTGCACGTCAACAAAAACAACTCGGGATGGGGAGCGGATCCTGGAGAAGGGGGGTCCTGGTTTGGCGTCGGGGGTCTTGAACGCAATGCACGCCTGGGCTTCTCGTGTGGCGGATGACGCTTCACATGAGCGATGGTCAAAAACGGGTCTTATGCGAGATGTCACAGCGACCTTACGCCGCAGCTTACGCGGACCGCCAGCGCGGCACGTCACGTCGGAGACGAGGGCGCTTACGCGCAACCTTACGCGGGCAACTTACGCGCCAATGTCGGCGAAGACGACGCCGTTTTTTTGAAGCACCCCTTGCTTCTTAGAAGGCGCAGGCCTTGCCTGTAACTGTAAGGCCCGCGGCTTCTAAGAAGCAGCCCCCTTCTAAGAAGCCTTCCCCCCTTCCCCTACCCCCTTGCGCGCGCCGCCAACTAAGCCGTGAGGCTAGGTGCCTGCTCGTGACGAATCCTGCCCAAAGACGGACGGACGGCTAGGGCGTCGGCACCGACTCTGGGCCAAAGATCGGCCTGGTCGGTGTAAGTGCATAGTTAACGCCATCCGACTCTCTCAAGGAGGGGGAGGAGGGGGGCGCGGGAGGGGGAGGAGGAGGAGGAGGAGGAGGAGGAGGAGGAGGAGGAGGAGGCGGAGGAGGAGGAGGAGGAGATGGAGGAGGAGGAGGAGGAGGAGGAGGAGGAGGAGGAGGAGGAGGAGGAGGAAGGGAAGGAGTACGAGGAGGAAGAGGAGCACGAGAAGAAATATCTCTCTCTCTCTCTATCCCTGTCTCTCTCTCTCTCTCCCTCTTTCTGTATGTATCCCTCTATTGTCCTCTCCCTCTCTACTTCTCTGTACTATTCCCCAAACAGCCTGCTGCATGGGGTGCTGTTCTGCTCGTACCTAGTTGCGGTCGAGGGACGTGCGCCCGGAGAGATCCTCAAGAAAATGTAGTGGATTGAGCCGATTCGCCTGCGACATCCGCATAACTCTCGATTCTGAGTTGGCTGGGATTGGGCGTTTCGTAGAGTGGAGGCCAGTCCACAATAAACCTTCCACAAAAAACCCAACCCTGACCCCCCAAGACATCCATTGATTTTTGGCGTGGGGACGTCACGCTTTCTTTCCATTGCAAAATCATCGAAACACAAGAAACCAAGTGCACCCTGGAGGCAAGCAGGGTGTTTCTTGGCATGGGCCTCCACTGCATCAGATATCATCCTATCTCTGGGCTCCAAGATGTCTCGAGCAAGGTGGTCTGGCGCGTTTCGCTTGGGACATCCTCGCAACACTGGGTTCCCAGATGCCGCACGCGGTGTGGTCTCGCTCGTTTCGTGAGAAGTCTCCCCACAACTCTGGGCTCCGATGCCGTGCGCAAGGTGGTCTGGCGCGATTCGCTTGAGACATCCACTCAAGTCTCGGCTCCGAGATGCCGTGCGCGAGGTGGTCTGGCGCGTTTCGCCTGAGACATCATCGAAACTCTAAGCTACGAGATGCTGCGCGAGAGGTGGTCTGGTCCATGTCGTTTGGGATATCTTCGCAACTCTGAATTCCGAGACGCTGCGCGAGAGGTGGTCCGGCCAATTCGCCTGAAGTATCTGCGCAACTCTAAGCTCCGAGATTCCGCGCGCGAGGTGGTCCGACCCTCTTGACTCTTGACCTGAGACATCTTCCCAAGTCTGGGCTCCGAGCCGCCGCGCAAAGTGGTGCGGCGCGTTTCGCCTGAGACATCCTCGCAACTCTGAGCTCGGAGATGCTGCGCGAGAGGTGGTCCGGTCCGTTTGGCCTGTGACATCCTCCCAGCCCAGCACTGATCTCCGAGATGCCGCGCGCGAGGTGGCCTGGCCCATCTCGCCTGAGAAACTCTGGGCTCCAAAACGTTGCGGGCGAGCGGGTCCAGCACGTTTCGCATGAGACATCCTAGCATGTCCGCGTTTCTGAGCTCCGAGCTGCCGCGCGCGAGGTGGTCCGGCACGTTTCACCTGAGACTTCCTCGAAGACATCTGGGCTCGGAGACGGAGGAGGGAGGAGGGAGGAGTGGTCAGACCCAAGCAAACCATTCGATTCCACTTTGTGTTGTCCAATTGTACTCTGGGAGCGGTCTGGGCGCCGCCTGACACATCCTCGCAGCTTTGAGCTCCCGGATGTCGTGTGCAACATGGTCCAGTCCGTTTCGCCTGGGACGTCTTCGCGCGTTTCGCCGGATCAACTCTGGTCTTCGCGATGCCGCGCGCGAGATGGTCTGCCCCGTTTCGCCCGATAAATCCTCAAAGCTCTGGGCATCGAGATGCTGCGCGAGAGGTGGTCCGGCGGGTCTCGCTTGAGACGTGCTCACGAATCTCAGCTCCCAGATGACGCACTCGAGGTGGTCGGTCACATTTCGCCTGAGCCATTCTTACAATCCTGGGCTTCAAGACGCCCGAATCGCATGAGACATACCCTCGCAACTCTGGGCTCCAAGATGCTGCGCGAGAGGTGGTGCGGCGCGTTTCGCCTAAGGCATCCTCGCAGCTCTGGGCTCAGAGAAGAAGGAAGGAGAAGGGAGGAGGGATCAGACCCAAACAGACCGTTTGATTTCATTTGTGCTGCCGAGAATTTTGCTCTGAGAGCGATCTGGGCGCCGCCTGGAACATCCTCCCAACTGTGAGGTGGTCCAGCCCGTTTCGCCTGAGACATCCTCGCAGCTCTGGGCTCGGAAGTGCCGTGCGCGAGGTGGTCCCGCGCGTTCCGCCTGAGACATCCTCGCAGCTCGGTTCCGAGAAAATGTGCGCGAGGTGGTCTGCCCCGTTTCGCTTGAGACATCCTTGCAACTCTGGGCCCCGAGAGGGAGGAGGGAGGAGGGATCAGACCACAACGAACCATTTGATGGCTCTTCCGATGTCGGATTGTGCCGTGGGAGGGGTCTGGGAACCCCTGGCCCGACGGAGGTAGCTGGCAACGAGGTGCGAGCACGAGTCCATTGAGAATCCATGGGTGTCTCAGGGGAACAGCTATGCTCGAGCAAATCGTGGAGATGCATTGAGCAAGAGCACGGTGAGCAGGGATAAGGGAGGAGGGGGCAGGAGCCCAGGAGGAGGAGAAAGGGACGATACAGGAGGGTGACGGGACCGGACCCGAGCTACCTGTATGAGGGAACCCCTGGCGAGGATGCCTTCTAGTAGCGGCATCGACAGTACGGAGGTATCCCTGGCATGGCGGAGGAAGCGGAGAAGAAGATGAACGAGGAGGAGGAGGAGGAGCAGGAGGAGGAAGGGGAGGAAGGGGAGGAGAAGGAGGATGAGCAGGATGAGGAGGAAGAGGAGGAGGAGGAAGCGGAGAAGAAGATGAACGAGAAGGAGGAAGAGGAGGAGGAGGAGGAGGAGAAGAAGGAGGAGGAGAAGGAGGGGGAAGCGGAGAAGAAGATTAACGAGGAGGAGGAGGAGGAGGAGGAGGAGGAGGAGGAGGAGGAGGACAGGGAACACGAGGCGGAAGGGGAGGAGGCGGAGGAGGAGGAGGAATGCGAGGACGAGAAGGGGGAGGAGGAGGTGGAAGAGGGGGAGGGGGAGGAGGAGGAGGAGGAGGAGGAGGCGGAGGAGGAGGAGGAGGAGGCAAAGGAGGAGGAGGAGGAGACAGATGAGCATTGCGAGGAGGAGGAGCATGAGGAGGAGGAGGAGGAGCAAGGAGAGCAGCAGGAGGAGACGGAGCTCTGCGAAAAGGAGGAGGAGGAGGACGAGGAACACGAGGAGGAGTATGAGGAATACAGGGAGGAGCGCGGCGATCAGGAGGAAGAGCAAGGGGAGGACAAAGGGCAGGATAACTGCGATGAGGAGGTAGAGGATGAGGCGGACGAAGACGAGGAAAACGACGATGAGGAAAACCACCAGGAGAATGAAGAGAATTTGTATGAGGAGGGGGACGAGGACGATTGAGATGAGGCGGTATAGCAGGAGGCAGAGGAGGCGGCGGAGGAGGGGGAGGAGGTGGAGGAGAAGGAGGAGGAAGAGGCGGAGGAAGAGGAGGAGCACTCAGCAGATACTGATATCTAGCACTTTAAATTTGAGCAGTACTGCCTTCAGGCCAGCCTTACCAAGTCACAGGCCAGCCTACCAGCCTACACGTAGTTGGTACTAATGGGTTCGTGCCAAGCCCGAGAAGAATTAGAAAAAGGACGAGGGCCCTGGAACCAATGTGGTTTGCGGGAAACCCAAACATACCCTGGGCAGCAACCCAGAAACTGCTACAGTCAGTCACGTTTCTGACACTGTTGTCTGCTGTTCCTCAGCAGGTACTCCTATCACTTCTAGGATCATTGTGATTGACGTTGCAGCCTGTTCTACTGTGCCACCAGATGGCACATACACAAAAAATAGGGTGGGTCTCACTTGGGAGCATGATGGGCGGCTAGGGCGAACTTACCTACGGTTTGGGGTGAACCTTAAGCCCTGGGCAGCAAGCCTAGAACTGCCACGGTCACGGCGTCACTCCCTGCACTTTTTGTATACTGTTACTCGCCATCCGAGGAGGCATTATCTGTTACAAATATGGAGGAGGCAGGTTATTAATGGGGCTTCTTGGTTACTAAGGATCGTGCCTACCTCGAGGACCCTGAGGGCGCCTACTCCCCATACTATTATTGGCCTTGTCTTCAATTATTTCATTTCCCGCGGCGCCCGCCAGGTACATCTTGACCCGAGACGCACTTTCCACTTACGAACGCCATTCTCGTAGGATTCAGGTTTGGTCAACGAAAAAGGAAAGGGAGCAGGAGAATGAGGAGGAGGAGGAGGGGGAGGAGGAGGAAGAGGAGGAGAAGGAGGAGGAGGAGGAGGAGGAGGAGGAGGAGGAGCGGGAGGAGGAGGAGGAGGAGGAAGAGGAGGGGGAGGAGGAGCGGGAGGAAGAGAGGTGGGAGATGAGGAGGAGGAAGTATAGTGCAAGGGGGGAATTCGAGAGCGAGAAGGAGAATGACGTGGATACGGAGAAGGAGGAAGACGACGACGACGGTGACGAACAACTCGACGACGGCGCCAAAGGCGCAGGCGGACCAGGATCTGGAGGACGCGCGAACACTCTTAGTAGCCGTCTTGGCTCAAAATGCTGCTTGGGGACACTGGACGCTGGCTATGTTCTCTCTCCCTCTCTTCGGCGGCGCTCTTGGGGGGAAGTCAGAGAGGGTGAGCATTCTTAGACGGCTCGGAAAGCCTCCGGCCTTGTGGCAAGTGTTCCAAGCCTTCCCCGCAGGCACAGGAAACTTCTACGAAGGCAGGATGGCTTCTGAGAAGCCCCGCTGCCTCCTTCTGCGAAGGCCTCCTCCTTCTGCCTCCCCCTCCTCGCTCGCCGCTCTCTCTCTCTCTCTCTCTCTTTCTCTCCCATCTGTCCTCCTCTCTCCCTCTCTCTCTCTTTGTCCTTCTCTCTCTCTCTCTTTCCATTCCTCTCTCTCTCTCTCTCTTTTCTTTTTCTCTCTCTCTCTCTCTCTCTCTCTCTCTCCCCTGAGCCAGCCCAACACTGCGCCCCGCGCGGAGAGGCGCGGCCCTGTCCCCCCCCACATGGGCGGACGCTCGCCGCGGGGGGGGGGGGGGGCGGCGGGGCGGCCAGGGGTGCTCCTGGCCCCGAGGCGCCCCCGAGGATTTCCGAGGCGGCCCCTGGCACGGCCCGCAGGGGACCCCCCCTCACGAGGCCCAGAGCCTGCCCGGAAACGGCAACCGGACTCTCTTTCACCGCTCCCAGAAAAAAGATGTATCCTGAAAATTGGTGGTCTCCAAACCAAGTGGTGAGACACCCGGTGGTGACCCCGATTCCCCCCAAAAAATGGTTCTGGGTCACCACCGGGTTTGGGGACACGCGGTCGCCACGAGGTTTTGCGTTTCCTGGGCCAGCCAGCGCTCGAAAACCATTACCCAAATCGCCCAAAACTCACCACCGGGTGTTCTCACCACCACGTTTGGGGACCACCAAGAAAATGGCAGCGGCAAAAGAACGGCGACCGGAAGCGGCAACCAAACGGTTCCAGGATTGGAACCGGAGCCGGGTCCGGCAGCAAAGACGGCGACAGAACCGGCAACAAACGCGGCGTCGGAGCTGGCAATAACAAACGGCGTTCGCACCGACAACAAAAACGGCACAACGGAACCGGTGAAAAAACTGCCCTGTCGTTTCCTGGGCCCACTGAGGCCCAGAGGGACCCAGGGGCTCCAAAAAAGAGCGAGAAGCTGGGGGGGGCACCTTGGCCCAGGGGCACCCTTAGCAACTCCCGAGCGGGAGGAGGCGGAAGGGGGGGGGGAGGGGGCAACCAGCGCTTTCGAAGGAAGCGCTGCCCTGTGCGCTGCCACCCTGCGGCCCCGAAGAAGGCGGGACGGGAAATCAGCGCGACTCTCGCCGCTGCCCCCCACCCCCCCCCCGCTGAAGACGAGGGCAAAGATCGATCGACCAGTCGATCAGCGAGGGACCCCGAGCAAAGCGGGCGACGGACGCCCGAACGTCCCGCCCCCCCGTTGCCGCAGGGGTCCCTCGCCGCCTGCTCCCCGTGGAGCAGGGCGGCTGCAGCAGCAGGCAACCCCTCCCCAGAGCATACCCTGGGAGTCCAAAACAGGCTCCCAAGAATCGGCGGCGCGCCCGGGGGGAAAGTGAGAGGGGGTTACGTTCCACGTTGCATGTTCGTTGGCTCGCGGAGGTTTTCCAGCCTCGGGGTACTTTCCAGCAGCTGCGCCAGGCCGAGAGCGTTCCAGGGGCACCAGGATCGCCCCGAACGGCCGCCAGAGACCCGATTCATGACCCGAAAACCAAACTCGACGGCGCGCCTGGGGGGAAAACGAGAAAGAACAGCCTTGTCAGAAGGCGGCGGGGCTTCTCAGAAGCCTTCGCGCCTTCCGATAGGTCGTCTGCGTCTTCGGGGAAGGCTTACGGAACAATTCTCAGGAGACCGGAGGACTTCCGAGCCTTCTGGAAGGGCCAGCCAACTCTCACTCTCCCCCAGACTCGCCGCCGAAGGACCAAAAGGGTCCCCTCAGCAACCCCAGGGACTTCTTAGGAGTCAGTTCGAGGAACAGAATCTGAGAAATCCGTTGGTTTTGATGACGTCCCAATGCTTTTCACTCGCTCCCCCCCTTGTGAGGGGGAAACGATAGGGGGGACCAACTCTGGGGGAACATCGAGCTCGAATCGGCGATACATCTGCGCATTCAGGAGCTCCGGCGTTGTGATTATTTCACGACGCGGACCCCTTGAGGTCTGGCCCCCTTCCCGGGGACATGTTTTTCAATAACTGTCGTTTGCTGGCTCCGTCGCCCGGCCCCCAGAGGCCGGGAGAGGCCAAAAACTGATCCTGTTCTGATGCCACGAGGCCAAAAGGTCTGGGAACTTGCCGTCGCTCGGACGTCCATTTCCCGTACATTTTTCGGTTTCGTGCGTGTTTGTTTTCCTCGATGGTCCAGGATGGTCCTCGTGGTTTCTCGCCGAGAAAAAATGCACACGTCCAAGCGATGCCAGGGGGGAGTGACTGTGGGGGAGCCAGAACATACCGATAGCGGTACTTCCCAAATCTCTCCACGCGTGCGTTCGGACCAAGACCTTGGAAGCGGTGCAGACGAGGCGACGAGGGGCCCCAAAAAGCAAGACCGAGGCAGGGGTGGGCCCCCGCACGCCGGGAACTACAGGGCAGTTTTTAATACATGGGACTTTGTTTAACATGGGATTCTTAATACGTGATCAATGTATGACTAAATTTATGCTCGAACTCATTGCTGTTTTTAGTACTAAATCCGCACGCGGAGCATGTATTAAAAACGGCACTGTACGAAAAACCTCCGCCTTGCCTTTTTGTTAAACGTTGGAGGTCTGGGGAGGGCCGTCCTTCGGGCGCTGGTCGTCCAGGAGGTTGGCCTCGCACAGCGCCTCGTGAGCCAGCTGCAGGTCCCCACCGTAGTGCTCCGCGTAGGCCACGCCGAGCCACGCCTCCGCGGTGGCCCGGCACTGCAGGGAGCGCACGAACGACTCGCGCGCCTGGAGGGCAGAGCAGAAGGCAAGATCTGTCAACACTTCAGTCGGGCCTGTCCCCCTACAGGGGGATTCTGGGCGAAAAATTAACAATACCGGCAAAATACGCCCAAAATGCTCGAACATAGACCAAAAGTAGTCCCCTGACTATTTTTGGTTGACTATTTCTGAATGCTCCTCCTGTAGAGGGACAGGCCCGACTTGAGTCAACACCGAATGGGTGAATAGGATCGGCACGACGCGTGCATCGAATCGGGCCGCGCCGGCACGGAACCGAACTCACATCGGATCGGCCGCGCCAGGTTGCCCAGCAATACCATGAGAGCACCGGGCCACATCGGGTCGTCCCAGCGTCGGAGTCAAACTCGATCGGGCCGGCCGGAGTCGACATCCGATCGGATCGATCGGATCGAAGTGGACCCCGGAGGGAGGCTCTCGGAGTCGTGTCGTCATCGGGTTCGTGGCTCGAGGTTTCGAAGCTACTCGTCGGTTCTCGGCAGTTCTGTAGCCTCGGGCTGCGCCTCGCTGAAAGGCATGCAGGGGTGCCCGGATCGTCCCAAACGGCCGATGGAGAGCCGAATCATGACCCGAAAGCCAAGGTGGCCCGGCACTGCAGCGAGCGCACGTCGCGCGCCTGAAGGGGAGAACACTGCCCCCCCCGACTCTCCCCACCATGAGACCCAGACCCCCGACGTCCTGAATGTTTCATAACCTCGACCCTCAGAGGTCTAAACTCCTTCACCTGGACCGGTTTTTCATCCTGAATCGGTTTTGACGGTCCCGAGGGCCGGTAAAGCTTCCAGAGGCCGAAAAGATAGAAAAACCTCCCGTCATGATTGTTTTATTACCCGAGGGGGTCTGGGGACCCGGGCGTCGCAATTATTCTGTCACGACGAACGATTTCGCTTGGCGTCGGGCATCGGGACCCTCACGAATCGATCTGGCGAGAGAAATGACGCAGAACGCCTGGGCCTGGGGTACCGTCAGCAATCGAATCGGGCGGAAGAGCCAGCCTCTTGGGGAAATGGTCTGAGCCTCCAAGGGTCCACGCTGTGAGAACAGCACGGCGTCGGACGGCTGGGTATACGCTTCGGGCAAGTGGTGCTGGGGGGTGACCTCCACGGAGGGTGAAGAGAAGCGCCCTGAAGAAAGGGACACTTTACGGCTCATCTGGGGCCCCTAGGGCCCCAAAGTGCCACTTCAAGGAGGTCCCTTTTCTTCCCCCCCCATTCGGGCCACTCCCCAAACACGGTGGGGGCAATGGATATGACCGCCGCCCTCATCAGATCAGGAACCCTCCAGTGTCTGAACCCTCCCATGCACGTTCCTTAACCTACGCCCCCACCGTACCGCCCGCCCGAACATTCTCGGGAACCTTCGCTGGGCGTGTCGCTGCGGCGGCCCCGCTATACCTCGCGGTGCCCTGCCGAGCGAAAACCGCGTGCCGCCCCGCCTCGCGGGACGGGGAGAGGTGGAAAAACGTCGGACGCGTTGACGCCTGGGGGCGCGGGGACTGCATAGCAGGGGGAGGAGGGAAGGCTTCTTAGAAGGAGGCTGCTTCTTAGAAGGCGCTGGCGCCACATCTATAGACAAGGCAAGCGCCTGCTAAGAAGCAGGGGTGCTTCTAAGAAGCCTCACCCCCTCCTCCTTACCTCCTCTGCGCGTGGCCGAAGCACGTCGCGCCGAAGCGTGGCGGGCCAGCACCGGCGGCGCGACACGCGAACAAACAGTTCCAGGCCGCAAGGTTGTCGGAGGCCCCCGCGCGGGCTGCTCGGGCTGGCGTCGGGTCCCCTCCTCCTCCTCCTCCTCCTCCTCCTCCTCCTCCTCCTCCTCCTCTCCTCTCCCCCTCCTCCTCTTCTCCTCCTCCTCCTCCTCCTCCTCCCTCCTCCTCCTCCTCCTCCTCCTCCTCCTCCTCCCCCCCTCTTCCTCCTCCTCCTCCTCCTCCTCCTCCTCCTCCTCCTCCTCCTCCTCCTCCTCCTCCTCCGCCTCCCCCCTCGGCTCCCCCAATGGTGGTCCTTCCCCCCCCACTGTGGTGTGTGCAGGTTGGGAGTGGGCGTGCGGGCGTAGCGTGCACGCGTGTGAGTGGCGTGGTGGTTTGGGGGTCGTCGTCGTCCTCGTCGTCGTTGTCGTCGTTGACGTCGTCCTCGTCGTCGTCGTCGTGATCGTCGTCGTCGTCGTCGTCGTCGTCGTCGTCGTCGTCGTCCCATCGATCCCATCGGAGGGGACCGCACGGACGACTCGCGCGCCTGAAGAGCAGGAAACGGCACATCAGAACAAGGGGGCGAAAAGTCTTGTACGGGCCTTGGGCGCGCGAATGTAGAAGGGTTCCGCGATGGGAGTAACCGTTTTTTGTGTTCTTGTTGTCGTCATGGCCCACAAAACTACCCCACGACCCGCCGCGCGACCCACCCGCGACCCACCCACTACCCATCCGAGACCCACCCGCGACCAGCCCGCGACCAATCCGAGACCCACCCGCGACCCGCCCGCGACCAATCCGAGACCCATTCGCGACCCGCCCACGACCCCGCGACCAACCCGTGACCCACTGGCGGCCCATCCGCGACCCACCCACATTGTCCTGAACGAAAGATCGGCGCCTGCGGCGGGCTTGTTGCGTAATGTGCTGAAGAAAACATGCGCCTGCGATGGGCTCTGAGCCCAGAAGACTGCCGCCGATCCCCCCGCGCCCTCACTCAAACACGTCGGTCGGAAGAAGTGCGTAAAAGCATGAAGTCGGAAGACGGATGTAGGTAGATTGGGTCCAGGCCCTCCTGGAGAAAAAGAAAGCACAGCGAAAACCAGATCAAATCTTGAAGTAGGCGCTTGAAGTAGATTGGGATCTAGGAGTTCAAATATCAGAGTGAGGGGGTCGAACGGTCATTCACTGTCCCTGGGCGCGTGGCTGAAGTGAGGTTCCGTGGTGCGGATTGCTGTTGTTGCTAAGTAGGTTCTCTTTCTGAAGAATGATTATTGTTGATCCAGCCCCGCCCAGAAACACTTGTATTTATCACATGAACATGCTTCTCTCTGGGCTCGCTCCCTGTTGTTACAAGGGCAAGTGAGGTGTCACCAAACTGTGTCCTTGCCCCCTGGCTTACAACAACAGCAGCTCCCGCCTGATACTTCCTCACGATGTATTCCCAAGTCGCGCTCTCGCGCGGGACTTCCTCTCACCGCGCCCTCCACTCAGGAATTACGCTCTCGCTGTGGATTTCTCACGGTTTACTTGGGAATCGCGCTATCGCTCGACGCTTCCTCGCGGTTCATGCAGGACGCACGCTTCAGCAACCCGCCCGCTCGACCTAGCCGCCTGGGCCAAGCTTCCGGCCCGCCGGTCAAGGTCTAGCCGCCTGATCTGTCCCCGCCCGGTCTACCCTTCTGGCATTGCCACGTGTTTTCTGCTCCTAGCCCCTCTCCTACCACGCTGTCTCGTGCTCCATCCTCCTCCTTCCTCCCTGTCCCTTCCTTCCATCCGTCCCCTCTTCCCTTGTCTTAGGGGCTGCACGAAGTACACGTCGCAGGTAAGAAACATCTATACCACAAAGGGTATACGAACGAAGGCGGGGGTTTGGGATACGTACTGAAAGGCACGGGAGCAGGTAAGAGCGAACAGTCTTGAACTGTGTTGTGTTGTTGTTGTGGTTATTGTTGCTGGTGTTGTTGGTGTTGTTGGTAATATTGGTGATGTTGTGGTGGTGGTGGTGGTGGTGGTTGTTGTTGTTGTTGTTGCTGTTGCTGTTGTTGTTGTGGTTGTTGCTTGTTGTGTGTTGTTGTTGTTGTTGTTGTTGAACATTATTAATTCTAAAGAATAATTATTGTTGGGACCCCTGGTGCGCGCCCCCCCCGCCGCGCCTAGGCCGCAGCTACATTTTCATCATTTTCGTGAGGAAGCCTCAGGTAATACGATGTCATCAAGATCCGGTTGTTTTGTTGTAATCCGTTTTCCCTTGCAAAAAACACTATAAAATGACATTTCTTGTTCTAATATAATCAAATTTCAAGAATCCCTTGCAAAAAATAAGGTAAAGTGGACATTCGCGCGCGCAAGACGAAATCCTTCCAAAAGCTTAGTGTTCGGAGCGATTTTAACATAAAAACATCAAAAAACCAATGGTTTTTCAACAAAAAAATGTCAAAATCTCATCCCGCGCGCTCTTGCGGATTCGTAGGAAACCCAACACTTTTTAAACATTTCTGTCAAACGGGCTTTTGCGAGCAACTTTTTCGAACTTCTGCGACAACGGTTGCGCACCTGCCAGGGCCATCATCCCTGTCAAATAATACCATGCGGGACACATTCGTTTTTTCTTCGCGCGCGCACGCCGAAATCTCCAAAAACCATTGGGCTTCTTAAGAATTTTAGCACCGCGCATCATAAAATCACACGAATCGCACCGTGGGTTAACAACTTCTGCACGTTAACAATTTCTAGCGTAGGCTTAACAACTTCTGTGGGTGTGTACTCCACGCCAGTGTAGTAGCCACGGTCGTCCGCAGGCCACGAAGTGAAGTGTCCGAACGTCATAGGGCGGGAAGCTGGGTGTGGGTGGTGGCGAAGAGTCGTGTGGATATTTGGTAGAGCTTGCACTGCCCCCCCACAAAGTGGGGGTATTGGCTGGCGTCGCATGAAAACCCTGGCACTGGTGAGAACACTGAGCGTTCGGGTAAAGTGATTGTTGTTGTTGTTGTTGTTGTTGTTGTTGTTGTTGTTGTTGTTGTTGTTGTTGTTGTTGTTGTTGTTGTTGTTGTTGTTGTTTTTGTTTCTAATGTGTTGCTTCTTGTTTGGTGTTTGTTGTCGTCGTCCCGCCCGCGACCCGGCCCGCGACCCAGCCGCGACCCAGCCGCGACCCACCGCGCGACCCAACCGCGACCCGTCCGCGACCCGGCCCGCGAACCACCCGCGACCGACACCCGCGATCCACCATCGATCCACTCCGCGGCCCACCCTCGGCCCACCCGTGACCCACCCCTCGACCTGGCCTTCGACCCACCCTCGACCCACCGGCGACCTGGCTCGCGACCCACCCGCAATCCGCCCGCGACCCACCCGCGACCCACCCGCGACCCATCCGCGACCCGGCCCGCGACCCACCCGCGACCCACCCGCGATCCACCATCGATCCACTCCGCGACCCACCCTCGGCCCACCAGTGACCCACCCCTCGACCTGGCCTTCGACCCACCCTCGACCCACCGGCGACCTGGCCCGCGACCCACCCGCGATCCGCCCGCGACCCACCCGCGACCCGCCCGCGACCCACGCACATTGTTTCGCGAGCAAATCAGCGCCTGCGGAGGGCTGGCTGTACAGCTTGTAAAAATTGAACACCCGCGGCGGGCCTCAGGAGAGCCTCGCAGGCTGCCGACGTCCCTGCCGCCCCCTCACTCTGATCCGCATCTGCGGGGTGCCATACCTGCGTGCAACGACCGGCGTGCATCCGCCTCTGCAGCGGCTGTGGTGCCTTGAGCTGTCGAAGGTCCGCGCAGATTCCTCGGATCGGCGTCGGGCCCTCCTTCGGGGGCGGCCAAGAGGGGGGCGTCCAAGAGGGGGCGGCGCAAGTCATGGCTGGCGGCATGCGCGCGGCCCAAGGGAAGACGGGGACGCATTGACATACAAATACAAAGATTCGCCATGGAATCTGGGGAGATCTCATGGCCCAGGCCATGATACGCAACCCCCCCAAACATCACCCCCCTCTTTGCCACCCCCGACTCTTCTCCAAACCTCGGGGCTGGGGCGCCCCGCGCACCCGGGAAGGGGCGTGCAGGAGGGGGGACAAGCGCCGGGCTGTGCTCGTGCCGTCCGGTTGCTCTCCCGGGTGCCTGCTTCCACCGCTTCTTCGCCAGGAGCACGCCGCCGAGGGTGATGTGGAACGCGGCGTCCTCGAACTGCTTCTCGAACGACACCGCCTCCGCAGGACCCAAGCGGGGCCCAGGCCCTGGCGTATATCGTCTCCTGGCGAGGCCGGGAGGCCGTATACACCACGGCCTGGCAGAACAACATGCTCCCGTGGTCTGCACGGTGCGGACGCGAGGGCAAGAAACCCCCGCAAGAACCGCGGCCCTGAGAACCCGCAAGCGCGAGAGGCAAGCGAGGGGAAACCCAGAGGTCACCACGTCGCGCGCGGAGCGCAGAAACCCAGGGTACTGTGACGAAACGCACCCGGTTTCTTGATGCGCGTCCCTGCTTCCCCTCTGCCGGGCGCCTTCTGCAGCAGCGGCAGGGCCTTGTCGACCTCCTTGAGGTGGACGTAGCACTCGCCCCCGAGCCTCCACGCGTCCTGCGACGCCTGGCCGCTGTCGAGCAGGGGCTTCAGGCGCTCCAGGGCCCCCGCGTGGTCCCTGTCCTGGCGAGGCCAGGATGTACTGATACCCGATATCGACGGGAATGGGGAGGGCACGAGGGATCAGATGAACACGACGAGGAGGAGGAGGAGGAGGAGGAGGAGGAGGAGGAGGAGGAGGAGGAGGAGATGGAGGAGGAGGAGGAGGAGGAGATGGAGGAGGAGGAGGAGGAGGAGGAGGAGGAGGAGGAGGAGGATCAGGAGGAGGAGGAGGAGTGGGAAGGAAGGGGGTGAGGAGGAGGGGTGGGCGGAGGACGAGGGTGATGGAGAGGAAGAGGATGATGAGGAAGAGGGGAACAGCGGGCTTAGGCCTCGCACCCGATCCTCTCTGGAATTCTCCCGGGTTCCGCCCTGAATAGAAGGTCGAGTCGAATCTGGCGGTGGCGACGAGGGCCGCCTCGGAGGCCCAGAAGGGCAAAACGAAGCAAGCGTGCAACGGTATCGGTCCATTTTCCCCCTCTGATGTCCATCGCCGTGGCCCTCGCGTCCAGGAGCGCGAAGGGCTCCAACTGCAGCGACGCCTCGGAGCATCGTTTAACCGACCCCTGTCCCCACTGGCGTGGCCTCGGCCCGACTGGCAGACAAAATCCCATGGATAGGGGACATATGCTGCTCCGTTCGGGCTTCGCGGGGCCCATCCCCTTTTGGGGTGGGTGGGAGGGTGGGGCTGGCATACAGTCGGGCCGCTGAAAGAAGGGACGCTAAAAAAGGAACGGAGCCCCTTCTTAGCCCTGTAAGCGCCTCCGTGCCCCAGGAGGGCAAGAGGAACAGCACTGGAGGAACCTAAGGAACATCGAGCCCCTTCCGAACCCAAACTGTTCTTCACTTCAGCGCCTTGACTGTATCATGGCCCGGTGGGGATGGGCATCGGTCAGACGACACCGAGCCTCGGGGAGCGTGCCGCACTGGTCCAGGAAGGTGAAGGCCAGGCTGGGCAGCCCGAAATCCAGCAGCTGCCCCAAGCAGTCCGCGTAGGGCGCTGGGTCGAGCTCGCCAGCCGCCAGGTGCCGGGCGCGGAGCCGCGCCGCGAGGGCGGCGTCATCCTCCAGCCCGTCGAACCAGTCGCGGGGCAGGCCGGCCGCTTGCAGCAGCGGCCCGGCCTCCTCGCCCTCCCCCGCGAGGAACAGCGCGAGGCCCAGGAGGAAGAGGTACGTGGGCTCGGCCAGGTCCTGCTCGAGGGAGGGAGGGGGACAGCAGAACTAGACGAAGAAATAACGCTTTAAACGTAAACTTTTGGCGCTCCGCGCGGACTTCTTGGATCTGGTCTGCCTTTTGGCGCTCCGCGCGGACTACTTGGATCTGGTCTGCGCGCCAGGGGCGGCGCCGGAGGCGCCGCCGGGGGCATCCAGCGCGGAGCCAAGAAATCCACGCGGCGCTCCAAAAGTTTCTGCTTATGGCGTTTTGTGCTCTCCGAAGAACTTGGGCGCCCGAGTTTTCTGGGGCAACTCGGGCCAGGGGTAACTCGGGCTTGGGTTCCCGAAAAACGAACCCGAGTTAGCCCTGACCCGAGTTACCCCTGATGATTCGGGGCTCTGGACGCCCGAAATATCCAGGGTAACTCGGGTCCGGGATAACTCGGGATTGGGTTCTCGAAAAACGAACCCGAGTTAGCCCTGACCCGAGTTACCCCTGATGATTCGGGGTTCCGAAGAACAGAAGCGCGGACGCTCGGAGCTCCGCACGGACTTGTGGTGCCGGCGCCGGGCCCCCCGTCCCCCCCGGCAGGCCTCCGGCGCCGCTCCTGGCGCTCCCGGCGCGCTCCGCGCCGATCCAAGAGAGCAGCGCGGATCTCCAGAAGCCCTGCTCCTCCTCCTCCTCCTCCTCCTCCTCCTCCTCCTCCTCCTCCTCCTCCTCCTCCTCCTCCTCCCTCCTCCTCCTCCTCCTCCTCCTCCTCCTCCTCCTCCTCCTCCTCCCTCCCTCCTCCTCCTCCTCCTCCTCCTCCTCCTCCTCCTCCTCCTCCTCCTCCTCCTCCTCCTCCTCCTCCTCCTCCTCTACTCCACGGACCTGCCCTGGGGTTCGCTCTGACCCAGATTTCCAAGCGAGCCCAGGCGTCAGGCGTAACGACGGGGGGCGCCCAGGCGGCATCGGCACCTCCTCGCCCCCTGGGTCCTTGGCGTGCCAGGAGCGGAAGATCTGTATCGCCTCGCCGTGGCGGCCGCGGTCCAGCAGCAGGCTGCCCAGCATGAGCTCCACCTTCGCGCCGGCCGCAACGGGGGGGGTAGCAAAGGGGGGGGGGTAGCAAGTCAGGCTGCGCAGCTGGACGCTCTGGCAGCCTCCGGCGGCGGCGGAGGCGCCGGTGCACGGAGGCAGGCGCCCAGCGGCGGAGCAGAAACTGGCTGCACGCAGCAGATTCCGGACCCTCCCCCCCTTCCCCGATCCTGAGGGGCAGCGATAGGGGGCTGGTTGAGGGCGGCGAACATCAACCTGGGAGGGGTGGGGTGGGCCATCGGGCCCCTATCGGCGATGAATGGGCGATTGGGGGTCGATGCGCTCCTCCCCCCTGAGCCTGTCCCCTGCTAGTTTCCGGGCTATAACTGGAGCCTCCGGCGGCTGTTCAGGGAGGATCTGGGCACCCCCGGGACGCTCTCGGCGAGTCGTAGCCGCTGGAACGCATCCCGGAGCTGGGAAGCCGCCGAAGACCGACGAAAACGCCGGCACTCGGTCCTTCACGCTGCCCCCGAGTCCTGCTCTTTGCGGGCCCCGGAAACGGCAGGGCCGTTTTTTCACCGTTTCCAGCAAAAAGCCCCTTGAACATGGAAGCGGCAAAACAACGGCGACCGGAAACGGAACAAGAAACGGCTCCAGGATTGGAACCGGAGCCGGAACCGGTGAAAAAACGGCGTCGGAACCGGCAAAAAAGCGGCAGAACGGAACCGGTAAAAAAACGGCCCTGTCGTTTCCAGGGCACACTAAGGCTGTCCCCCCCCCGTTCCCGATCCCCCCCTTCCATCCGACCCGAGCCTCTACGGAGCTGAGGCCCTCGCCGCTGTCCAGCAGCTGGCGCGCATGGCCCAGCGCCTCCTCCGCGGCGGCCTGCCGCCCGCGCGAGCGGGAGCAGAACTTGGCGTAGGCGAGCCACTCCGCGGGGTCGCTCCTGCAGGAGGCCACCAAGCACACGTCGGGGGCGACGAGAAGAAGGGGCGAACAGCCTCAAGTCGGGCCTGTCCCCCTACAGAGGAATTGGACAACAAATGAACAATATTCAAAAAGTACCCCAACCCCAAAATGGTCAAACAATATGTTTAAAACAAGTCCCCAGACTATTCTTTGACTATTTTTGAATATTCCCTCTGTAGAGGGGCGGGCCCGACTTAAGAATAGCCCAGCGGGGGGTGGGCAATACATGGATCCAGGGGCGCCGATGTTGAGCAGGTGCCGACCGTCCCAGCATTCCTATGGGCCTACCACGGCATGTGCTTGGAACCCAAGCATGTTCGAATCACGAAAACATTGTTCTTAGAACATAGTTCCGATGTGCTCAAGAAAAGGCAGCCTCAGCCAGAACTGTTCTAAGAGCTTCTCGTGCAGACGACAGAGGGTTCTAAAAACACCCTTCGATGGGCGCATAGGCGAGCCAGGACGCTTCGCCACTGCTTGACGATGGCCCATCTCTTCGGCGAGGCTCTCCCAGAGGATGCGTGCCACGCCCGCCCCCCGGCTAATCGCACCCCCTCGTCGCCTCGGGCCTACGGTCGGGAGTCTTTGCTCAGCGCGGCGCGGCGGCGGCCCCGACGACACGCTCCGCCTTGCGAGGTGACAGCGTGTACCGCGCGGCGCGCAGAGGGGGTAGGGGGAGGGGGGGAGGCTTCTCAGCAGGAGGCTGCTTCTTAGAGGGGGCGGGCCTTACATTTACAGACAAGGCCCGCGGTTTCTAAGAAGCAGGGGTGCTTCTAAGAAGCCCGCCCCCCTCCCCCTACCCCCCTCTGCGCGTGGCCGAGTGTAGCGTGTCGCTCCGCTCCGAGGAGCGGGGGGCGAGGAAAAGCTCGGGACGTTGACGCTACGGGGCCAGGACGTACATCGCGTGTCGCTCCCAAGCGTGGGTGGCCACGGCCACCAGAGCGACACGCCGGCCACAAGTTCCCGACCGCACGCTGCACCGATACTGGCCAGGACCATCCTGGACCCAGAATCGGCGTGTGCGCCCTCCTGGCTGCGGCAGGGGGGCACGTGCACCGACCCTGCGGCCCTGGAGCGGCCTGGCCAGAATCGGGCAGCGCTCTCCGATCCTGAACTCGGGGATGAGCAGCCTGCTCTGCCAGTGCTCTGCGGCGCGGTCCCACAGGCCCAGGATCTCGGCCTCGTAGGCCAACCTCGACGGCGTCCACAACTCGAGGGAGGGAACGGCCCACCCCCACGCCCACCAGGCTGATCTCTACATTTCTCCGGGACGCTTGCGAACTGACTCGGCGCGCCCCAACGGCGACGATTGCGAATTGCGACGTTTCCGGTTACGCAAATCGTTGTGTAAAGCCGTTCTCGTTTGTATTCGACCGTTCTTGCTTGTGTGTTTATAAACGGGTTTTTGCTTTTATAAAACTGCGCCGTCGCACGTGCGCGATGGCGCGATCTGAGCCATGTCTCAGGCAATTTCGCGCGCGGCCATCCCGCATTAAAAAGATGTGGGTGTCTACGCCGCCGCCAGCACTGAGCCGTGCGTCCGGAGGGGCACGTGGGCAGAAAGGTGCGCGATTGGCAACTCTTCAGGAAAATCTGACTGACATGACATTGCAGAGCGACTGCGTGCCGGCACAGACACGACTGTGAAGCAGAAGCGGAATGCCTAACGACTGCGTCGCGGAACGACCGAGCGCATCACCACTCCGAGGCAAAAAGTAAATCGCATCACGGCATTGGAATTCAGAGTGGAGGGAGACGGCGCGGGAGGATAGCTGGAGGGAGGGAGGGAGAAGGGGGGGAGCCATTAACGTTAAATCTACAAGCTACACTTGTTAAGCAGCAAGCGACTGCACTGGCGAAGCCCATTGCTGCCGGGGCCAGCCCCTCTTGCGGCGCGGAGACCAATCTCTAAGAATCCCGCTTTCGTGAAAAGTAAACGCTTTACAAACGAGCTGGAGTCATACGTAGCCATTTTTTGTACAGTTTTTTTTTGACTAGAAAGAAGCATTTGCAACAGCGGTTTCGCTGAGGCCTTCTGCATCACGCTCGCATTACGCACCCTAGAAATATACACCGATGGGGGGCCCAAAATGCGCATCAGACTCTCGCAGTGGAAAGCGTCAAAACGAGCACGATCCGCTTTCGGCAACCATAGAGAGTCCAAGGAATAGAGGAGCTTGCCCAGGACCACGCGGTCGTAGATCTTGCATGTCCCTTTTCCATCCAAGAGACGACCGTGACCGCAGTCGACCGCGTTGTTTGAATGTGCCGGCTACTGCCCGCAATCTTCTGGACACTTCAACTGAAGCTTTGACATCACACGAAATCAAGCCTTCAATTTAAGTTGCGTCTCGCACTGCTTTTATATCAGCGCCGTCTGGTCTCGTTCTTTTTGTATGTATGGAAACCTGACTTTGGACAGTTTTCCCCAATTGAGCTCCAAGCCGTATTTGCGCTCTTCTTCCACGATGGCGTTCAACATGGTCTGCATATTCGTTTGGTACCGCGCTGCTAACAGTGTGTCGTCCGCATATAAAATATCCCAGGTTACCACGCATCCAGGTTCAGTTTTCAAGAGGTAGAGAATCGATCGCGTCGTGTAGCAAGACTGTCTGCAGTGCGATTAACAAAAACGGAGAGAGCGGACGACCAGGCGCGATCCCAGCGTGTTGTCTCCTCTCCGTAGAGCTTCCAGTGTGGTCCAGGATAATGAAGAAGCGAGCTGCGAAGATGGAGCGCATCATGTCCACGATGTCCCTGGGTAGGCCAAATCGCTTTAAGGCTTTGCGCAGAAGCGTTTGCCCAACCCAGCATCAGTACCAATATGCCCCAATGTTGTTGATACGTGCTGCATCCATCGTGCATCGGAGCCCCCTTGAAGCAACCTGCGGTGCATGAGTGCCGCCAGAAATTTGTACCCAACTGAAAGCAAGGAGATAGAGCGGTAGTTCTCTGGAAGGGCAGCGTCTCCCTTTTTGAAAAATAGCACCACTTTCGCTCTTTTCCAAGATTCTGGAATCGCCTTTCTGTCCCAACATTGCTGGCACAGCCTCAATGAGCCGGCAGTTGCGCTTGCATCGCGCATGAGAACTGCCCAGAAGTCGGAAGGGATATCGTCGGGGCCGGCGGCCTTACAAGCTTCATGTCTGCAACAGGTTGTGCAGTTCGTCAGTCGGAAAATCATGCGTGGGTACTGGCAGTGTATCACCAATGGGAGCTGGGCAATATGGTTGTAGTTCTGGATGTTGCATTTGCAACTGCAGTTGTTCGAAGTAGTATGCCATATGTTCTGCCCGTTCTGCGGATCTCTGATAGCGTGCCGCCTGGCTTCTTGATGGCAGCATGTTTTACATCTCTGGGCTTACGTAAGAATCGTACTGCTTCCTGGCTGCCTCCAGCCACATGCTCTTCCAGCCACGCATTGCGATCTTCCTTCTCGGATTTGCAGAGCATTTTGTGCAATTCTTTTTCCGATGCAAATTTCCACGTTGACAACGCGCCTCCCGCTGCTCAGTGAGGTTGAGTGTGCGCTGGCTTGTTCAAAAACGTCGCGGTCGGAGGTTTTCTTCTGGTAGTGCGCGCGCTGCTTGCTGAAAAGGCTTGTTCAAGATCCCCTGCGGCTTCAACAAACGTACACATTTGATGCTCTGCCCCGGCAGCGTCCGTGAACGAGCGCAGGAAGCACGTCTAGGACCAGCACCCTTCAGCGAACTTTTATCACATGACGTTTTCTTTTGTACCCGATCCGCCTTGCACTGCATACAAGCGTCCACCACTTCAAGAAAATGCTTGCTGTTAGTGGCTGCTCCCGGCACGTCCAGTAATCCACAATCGTGCGAAGGTTGCTGAGGTGGCACCGGATGTGGTCAATCTGAGCGAACTTTGAATCAATTATGAAATCCATGGGAGGGACATATAGATCACGATAAGAAACTGTGTGTTCATCCGGTCTGTTGAAAACACGCACTGGCAATAGCGAACTCGCATGCGACGCGAGATGCGACAAGTATTTGCCGATTCGTGGTTGCGTATTAGTTGTGCGATGCACCTCTGAGCTCATCTCTGGGAAATGCTGAAAACATTATTTATGCTCCAAAAATGCTCTTCGGTTGTTTGAAGCAGATGCTCCAAAAATGCTCTTCGGTTTCGGTTGAATGTTGACGATGCTCCAAAAATGCTCCTCAGTTTCGGTTAAATTTTGACGATGCTCCAAAACATGCTCTTCGGTTTCGGTTGAATTTTGACGATTCTCCAAAACATGCTCGCACGGTTCTGGGGCGCGTTGAAGATGCTTCCGGGATGCTCGGCCTTTTGCGAACACCTTCGCAATGCTGCCAAAACCGCGCGAGCATTCTTTGAGCATCGCCAAAGTCCGACCAAAACCGCGCGAGCAGTTTTGGAGCGTCATCACTCTACAACCAGAACCACGCGGCAGCGTTTGACAGTAGACGACGTAAACGGACTAGTGATGCGATTCGCCTCGACAGATGCCAGGGGGGCAGGGGGCGCTCGGTCGCTTGGTAAGAGGGCAAGGAGCAAGGATATCGGATATCGTCTGGGGGGTGGGCGGGGTGGGGTGGGGCGGGTGGGTTGGGGGTGGGGGGCGGGGGCGGTGGGTGGTGCGTGGGGTGGTGTGGGGCGTGGCGTGTGTGTGTGTATGTGCGTGTGTGCGTGTGTGTGTGTGGGTGGGTGGGTGGGTGGGCGGGGTGGGGTGGGGGGCGGGGGTGGGGGGCGACCACGCTCGGACCACGCTCGGACCACGCTCGGACCACGCTCGAACCACGCTCGCCTCGGACAACGCTCGGACCACACCCCGGACCACGCTCGGACCACGTTCGGACCACGCCTCGGACCACGCTCCCACCACGCCTCGGACCACGCCTCGGACCACGCTCGGACCACGCTCGGACCACGCGCGGACCGCGCCTCGGACCGCGCTCGGACCACGCCCCGGACCACGCTCGGACCACGCCTCGGACCACGCTCGGACCACGCCTCGGACCACGCCTCGGACCACGCTCGGGCCACGCTCGGACCACAGTCGGACCCAGCTTGGACCATGCTCGGACCACGCCTCGGACCACGCGCGGACCACGCCTCGGACCACACCTCGGACCACGCCTCGGACCTTCTTCGGACCACGCCTCGGACCACGCCCCGGACCACGCTCGGACCACGCCTCGGACCACGCTCGGACCACGCCTCGGACCACGCCTCGGACCACGCCTCGGACCACGCTCGGAGCACGCTCGGACGCTCGGAGCACGCTTAGACCTTAGACCTTAGACGCTTAGACCTTAGACGCTCAGACCATAGGTCACAGGCCACAGGTGGACAGGACACGAATCGCGCGGGTGGTGCGCCGAAGCGCGAAATTGGAAATGGGCGCGGGGGCGGCGTGCATGCGAGCACGCCTGCTGGGACCATGGGTGGGGCCCCCTGGAGGGCGCGCGCCTACGTCGATGATGGAGAGAATCCCACAAGGTACAAAGTCTCGACCTATAGAGTCGTCGCCGATGGGTTTTCACGATTTTGGGGTCTCAGCCCATAGACCATAGGGTCTCGGCCCATGGGATTTGACCCCCGGTGTCTCCGCCCATGGGGTCTCGGCCCATGGGCCATGGGGGCCACGTCTCGGCCAATGTGGTTCGGGACTCGAAATCAGGGTTAAGGGTTAAGGGTTACAGGTTAAGGGTTAATGGGGTTTAGGGTTAAGGCTTAGGGCTTAGGGGCTTAGGGTCTCGGACCATGACATGTGGACAGGCGCTGGGCCAAACAGCCAAGCAATCATGGCGACTCTTATATGCTCCGCGAGGGAAGGAGAGGATGGGCGGTGGGAGGGCTGGCCCCGAAACCGGGCGGCGTTTTTTGGTAGCATTTTGATTCTCTAGGGCGGGCAGAAGGGAAGGATAACGAGAAGGATGACGAGTCTGGGTTGTGGGCTAGGGGCCAGTGGTGTGCTTCCTAGGCTCCGATGGCAGGCGCATCTGGCTTCTGGGGTTAGTGGTTAGTGGTTGGTGGTTAGTCGGCTGGTCCGTCTCAGGAGCATCCTGGAACATTTTTGGCAAAGGATCTAGGGTCTAGGGTACGGGGTCTAGGGTCCAGGGTCTGGGTCTAGGGTCTCAAGCCCAGGGTCTCATGTCTAGAGTCTGGAGTGTAAAGTCTGGGGTCTAGGGTCTAAGGTCTAGGGTCA